AGAGGTTGCAGTGAGCTGGAGATCACGCCACTGCACTCCAGCCTGGGTAACAGAATGAGACTCTGTCTCAAAAAAAAAAGAAAGAAAAAAAAAATGTAGTTCAGAGACCGAAAGCCAGGACCTGGGAATGTGCATTTTTTAAGTTTCTCAGGCCATAATTATGCTGAGTTTGAGAATCCTTGCCCCACATTGCCTTCTCCCATCTGGTCAGCTTTCTACAGCGGGAGGGGAGCGGTGGGATTTTAGGGGTGAACCAAAGGATTACCTCCCTAACCAAAGCAACAAATGAAAAATGTGTCCCCTGCCAGACTGCTCTTTGTGCCCGAAATTATCCCAAAAGACTCATTTCTTTGGGTTAAAATACAAACAGTCCTAGATCACTCGGGACCTTCTCATGAATGAACTCAGGTGATTCCCAGCCAGGAACAATGGCTTGTACGAAGTCACTCTGCAAGGTCAGCTTTTGCGGGGAAATATCAGTCAAGACCTTGATCTGAAATGGCAAATCCAGCTGGAGGTTGCAGGTGGTGAGATCCTGGACAGCAGGGAGACGCTGAGCATCAATGGGGTGGGGGTAGTATGGGGTGGGGATAGTATGGGGTGGGGAGGGGGGGTGAGAGTGGCAGTGGGGGTGAAAGTGAAGGACTCCCAGGAGAGAAAAAAAAATGCAACTGGGGAAGGTAGTGAAGCCACACACACCAGAGTCAGAAAGAACTGGAGGCCAGGTGTAGTGGCTCATGCCTGTAATCCCAGTACTTTGGGAGGCCAAGGCAGGTGGATCGCCTGAGGTCAGTTCGAGACCAGCCTGGCCAACATGATGAAACTCCATCTCTACTAAAAATACAAAAATTAGCCAGGCATGGTGGTGCATGCCTGTAGTCCCAGCTACTCGGGAGACTGAGGCCGGAGAATCGCTTGAGCCTGGGAGGCAGAGGTTGCAGTGAGCCGAGATCGTGCCACTGCACTCCAGCCTGGTGACAGATGCCTCCAAAAAAAAAAAAAAAAAAAAAGAACTGGAGTAAAGCCTCAGCCTTGCTACTTATCAGTGTGACCTTGCAAATGCTACTTTACCTCCTGTGCCTAAGTTTTCTCATGTGTAAAACACAGCTAATAACAGAACCTACCTGTGGGGGCATTGTAAGAATCAAACACATTCATGTGTGGAACAGTTAACATTTACTGACCCTTGTGCCAGTAGCCATGCTAAGTGCTTTGCATATATTATTAACTCATTTAATCTTCATAGACAACCAATGGTGTGGTTATTATTTTACCCATTTTATAAAGGAAGAAAGTGAGGCACAGAGAGGTAAAGTAACTTGCCTCAAGGTGGCACAGCTTCTAAGTGTCAGAGTCAACATTTGAACCTAGTCAGTCATATTTCAGGGGCAGTGGCCCTGATGGCTACGCTCAGCGGCAGATGCTTCATCTCACAGAGACGGCTGCAGTGGTGGGGGCCAGAGTGCAGCCTGCTGAAGGATGGACCTCTGGGCAGGGGTCCCTGTTGTTCAGGTCCAAATCAGACTGAACAGTAGCCTTAATCATTAAGATCACTACAGAGCTAAGGGGTGAGAGTGCACTCTGCCTGTTCTCCCTCCACCCCCAAGACACTCACCCTATTCCACACCCAGAGGAGGACATGGGGTGCTCCCTTCCAGAGCCCAGAGACCGTGGGATGGCTCCAGCCCCTTCTCCCAACATTCCCCCAGCGAAGAGCACCAGTACCCTTGCTCCGCTGTCCACCGGGCAGTTGTCCCGGGATCAGTGTTTTTGGTTGTTCCTCGTTTTGTCTTGCTTCCCTTTTAGAGTATCTCCTGAAATCAACGGCAGTGTTGCAAGGAGAAAAGGGAGCCCAGCCTCTCTGGAGCAGTTACGATGGGCAAACAATGAAATCCACGTGCGGTGTCTCACGGGGCCTTCACACCTTTGTGAAGTAAATATTATTGTCCTCATTCTGCAGATGAGGACGCCAAGCCCAGAGAGGCTAAATGACTTGCTCCCAGTCACAGAGCAAGTCGGCAGCACCTGGCTGCAGCAAATGCTTGTCAACTGGAATCCAAAGCTGTTTATGGGATTTGGGGCTCTGCTGGGGCTTTTACACCCAACCCCCAAAGGTGAAGTTCTCTGTTCCTCATTCATTCCTTCATATGCTGAGTGTTTTGCAGCAGCGGCTCGATGCCAGGCATTGGAGTAGAGACCATAGCAACCTGGCCTCCGTTTCATTCTGTTCAGCAGGACTGGTGATCTTTCTAAATGGGATATTTGTAGAGGTTTTCATCGCCCCAGTTTCTGGAAGGCCTGATCATCAGCCCAGGGGCTGCTCCTCGGGGATGGGAGTCAGGGGTTCAGCTTCTTTGTGGGAGAATCCAGCTCTGGGTGTTTCAGGAAATTTCTGACCTGCCAGGTTTCCTGATCAGTCAGAGCTGGGGAGTGGGGGCCGAGAGAAGAGGTTTCCCGTCAGCCCAGCTTTTGTCTCTCACATGAGCGCGAGACAGACAAACCACAACCACAGACTCGACCAGCTGTGGAAGCGTCGAACAGGAAACCCGGAACATCTGGTGCTCCACTTCCTCTGAGGGCTGTGCACGTCTGGGGCGCCGGGTGTGCGTGTGCATGTCCGCCTGTGTGCACGACTGTTTTCTCTCCTGCCGTTGGTTAGTGGGACGTGGATGCAGACAGAGCTGGAAACCACAGGTCTTGTGGTGACAAGGAAGCCAGACACTGGCTCCCCAACCCTTACAGCACGGCGTCCCTCCTCAGACAGTAACCGGGGATCCGACCCAGTCTCGCAGGCCTTTGGCTAGCTTCAGGTCACCATGCATTTGAAGAAAGGGATTTCTTTTCCTTTCAAATTGTGATGGTTTAGAGACATTGTTTGGAGGTGAGGTAGGAGGGCTCTGCTTACATATAACTTGGCCTCAGCACACAGACCCACAAAAAGCAGCCTCTGGACAAAAGCTGCTTTTGTTTGTTTTTTGCTTTTTGTTTTTGAGACAGAGTCTTGCTCTGTCACCCAGGCTGGAGTGCAATGGTGAGATCTCGTCTCACTGCAACCTCTGCCTCCCAGGTTCAAGCGATTCTCCTGCCTCAGCCTCCCAAGTAGCTGGGACTACAGGCATGGGCCACCACGCCCGGCTAATTTTTTTGTATTTTTACTAGAGACAGGGTTTTGCCATGTCGGTCAGGCTGGTCTCAAACGCCTGATCTCAGGTGATCCACCCGCTTCAGCCTCCCAAGGTGCTGGAATTACAGGCATGAGTCACTGTGCCCAGTAGCCATGCTAAGTGCTTTGCACACATTATTAACTCATTTAATCTTCACAAACAGCTTTAAAAAAAGCTGTTTTTAAAACAATTTGAGGAGCATCTGTGGATGAACGCTAAGGCCATGTGCTGGTCAGGAGGCGGTTTATTAGTGGTGGTGTTCTCTGTGTAAGGAGAAAACAGGGTTTTTAATTTTTCATTTTTCTGAAGGGAAGAATCATAAGGAAGTGGAAACAAAAGGCTCCCCAAACCATAGCATGAGGTTTAACTCTCATGATATCTTAAGGAAGTAGGCACTATTATGCCCATTTTTATGAATCGTGAAATAGATGTGCAGGAGGGTTCGGAAGTCACTCCAGCTAATACAGCACCTAACGAGCAGGGCCAAGGTTCAATTCAAACCGAATCCCAGCCTCATGCTAGATCTTAGTTCACACTTCATTCTTTCAATGAGCATTTACAACCTAAACTGTACCTAGCAAACAGTTGGGACTTCAGTGTTTCTTGAATTAATCACCTAAATGTGCCATGATGTCAGAGACAGATGTCATCCTCACTGTAGCCCCCAGGCTCAGCACAGTATCCAGGAAAGAATAGGTGCTTGTAGTCCCAGCTAATTGGGAGGCTGAGGCAGGAGAATTGCTTGAACCTGGGAGGCAGAGGTTGCAGTGAGCCGAGATGGTGCCACTGCACTCCAGCCTGGGCGACAGAGCAAGACTCCATCTCATGGAAAAAAAAAAAAAAAAAAAAGAATGGGTGCTTAATCAACCTCAGCAAATGAATACGTAAAGGAATTCCAAGTTTTAGAACAGCGATACTTTATTTTTGCTTGTTGTTTGTTTGTTTTTGTTTCTTTTGAGCCGGAGTCTTACTGTCAATCAGGTAGGAATCTAGTGGTGCGAATTCGGCTCACTGCAACCTCCACCTCTAGGGTTCCAGCGATTCTCCTGCCTCAGCCTCCGCAGCAGCTGGGATTACAGGCGTGCACCACCACGCCCAGCTAATTTTTGTATTTTTAGTAGAGACGGGGTTTCACCATGTTGGCCAGGCTGGCCTCAAGTGATCCGTCCAACTCGGCCTCCCAAAGTGCTGGGTAACAGGTGTGAGCCACCACGCCCGGCCGATACTTCGTTTTTCTGGAGTTCATTTACTTAGCAAGGCTAGCTGTTTGGATCCTGGCTAAAAATGTGAAAGAAGACAGAAAGAGTCACAAGCAGTCAACAAAAGTCACGGGTCCTAGCAGGTAAAAGTTCAAGTATTTGATTCAAAGCCGAAATTCTCAGGTCCTCAGTCGTAGCCTGGTTACCCTTACAAACACCAGGGCTAAAGAGCACGGTTAATGATCTTTCCAGGACACAAGATTTGAAAGCATCTGTTTCGAAGGGAGATGGCCTGCTAGAGGAAGCTTGCGGGCAACAGCAAATTGGGAGTTGGACTAACACTTTCAGACTGGAATGCCACGCAGAACTCGCCAGCAGAGATAAGAGATGGGCAAGATGAAGAGAATGAACTGTGATTCTCGGATATCTGCCCGCAAGGTGGCTCCGAGAAAGCCAGCCGGAAACTGCAGCATCGCGGAGGATTTCTCCCGTTCAGGTTAAAGAGACAGCAGCGAGACGGTGCCGACCTCAAACCCAACTCCCGACAGCAACCTTGAGGCAACCCGAGATGGCGCATGCGCAGTGTGCGAGGTCGTGCTCCTTTTCATACCTGCGGACCTGCGGAGTCTTCTTCCTGAGCAGGGCTTACGTCACGCAAGCGCCGCGGGTGTGGACGTCATCTGAGAGCGCCACGCGCGGTCCCGAAACCCTGAGCACCGTCTGGCTAAGGCGTTGCTGTAGAGACCGTGCGCCGAGTCCCGCCCCCGAGGCGGGATTGGAGGAGAACTGGTCAGCTGACAAGGGTGGAGTTTCGAAAGCGCGCTGTAGGCAGTGCTGGGACTCAGAGCCCGAAAACTGATTTGAGGGGCGTCTTGACCGAAGGTATTAAATATCACATGGCTCCGTTAAAGTAAAAATGCAAACTGCCCTAATGGGATTTCATATAAGGCCGGAGGGCTGGGAAGACTTAAATGTATCACTTCAGTAGCTTAGGGGTGGGAAGAAGAGTTGGGACCAGACTAGCGCCGGGATAACCTGACCTTTTTGAGCCTTAATTTCTTCTCGAAGGGATCTTTCCCATCAGCATATAAACATGTGATTTCCCCGTTCCTGAGAACCCTGTCGTGGCTCCAGCTCCCATCCCATCCCCTCGCTTTCTGAATATCGTAACTCCTTGGAAGAGTGTGTATATTCTTTGTCCAGCTCTCTCCTCCCACTTTGTTGAACTCCCTCCAGGCAAACTCGGTCTCTCCCCAGTCCTCCTCTTACCTGCTCTATCAGCAATTTTTGATACAGTTTATCACCCTCTCCTCCGCAAAACTTTCTTCACTTGGCTTTTGGCAGTGCACACACTTGTTTTTTTCCTCCATCCCAGCCCCACCTTCTCTTTCTTTTACTAGCCTCTCCTCTTTTTCCTGACCTCTAAATGTAGCAGTGCCCCCAGCACTGGCTCCTTGGACTTCTCTTTCTTTTCACTTAATCCCTTGATGATTTCATCGGGTTTCATGGCTTTAAAGACTATGTGCTGATGACTCCCATCCGTATAGCTCCAGCCTAGAAAAATCCTTCTGGCTTCTCGGGCTGCAAACTTTGAGTTCTTCATCCCGTGTCAAATCTGTCAGCAGATCCTATTGGCTTTTCTTCTTTCCCCAGAATCCGGTCTCCACTGACACCATCTTAGACCAAGCCCCCATCTCTCACCTGGATTATTGTAATTGCCTAACTGGTCCCTCTTCTGTCCCTACCCCGTCAGTCTATATTTACATAACAACCTCAGTAATTCTGTTAAAAGTCGTATCATGTGGCTCCTCTGTGCAAAAACTACCAGAGTAAAAGCCAAAGCTTTACCATGGCTAGAAATGTTCCACACGACCAGGCCTCTATTCTAGACCTTTCTTTTCTTGTCTCCCTTGCTCACTTAACACCAGCCACATTGGCCATTTTGCCAGGCTTGCTTCTGCCTCTGGGATCCTGAACTTGCCTTTACCTCTGCCGGGAACTTGTCCTCACTTATCCCCAGGGCGCTCTCCCTTACCTCCTCCAAGACTTGGCTCAAATGTTCCTCACTGAGAAAGGCCTTCACCAACCTCCTGGTTTTACATTGCAGATCAGACTCCCCCAAGCCCGCATTCCCATTCCCTTCCCTTTTGCTCCATTGCATTTAATTTAATAAACCTTCTAATAAACCGTTTAATTTAGTTCTTTATCTTATTTGATGTCCCTCTCCGCATGAAGACAGGAATTTGTTTCATCATTGCTCCATCCCCAATTCTGAGACAGAGTGTGTGGCACATGACAGATGCTCAGTACAGGTCTGTGGGGAGAATGGGTGCATTGCAGAATCCAAGGGTTAAGGCATGGTTAGGAGCTGGAGCTTTAGAGGCTTGGGTTCCAGGCTGCCTTTACCACTTAGCTGCTTTGTGGGTTTGTTTGTTTGTTTGTTTGTTTGAGATAGAGCCTCGCTCTGTGGCCCAGGCTACAGTGCAGTGGCCCCATCTCGGCTCACTGCAACCTCTGCCTCCCAGGTTCAAGTGATTCTCCTGCCTCAGCCTCCCAAGAGTAGCCTGGGACTATAGGCGCCCGCCACCACACCTGGCTAATTTTTGTATTTTTAATAGAAACGGGGTTTTGCTATGTTAACCAGGCTGGTCTTGAACTCCTGACCTCAGGTGGTTCACCCACTTTGGCCTCTCAAAGTGCTGGGATTCTTTGGGAAACTGAGGCAAGTGGATCACCGGAAACTGGAGGAGTGGATCACCCACTTGGCCTCCCTCTCAAAGTGCTGGGATTCTTTGGGAAACTGAGGCAAGTGGATCACCTGAGGTCAGGAGTTTGAGACCACCCTGGCCAATGTGGTGAAACCCCATCTCTACTAAAAATACTAAAATTAGCCGAGCATGGTGGTGGGTACCTATAGTCCCAGCTACTCAGGAGGCTGAGGCAGGAGAATCGCTTGAACCTGGGAGGCGGAGGTGGCAGTGAGCTGAGATCACACCACTGCCCTGCAGCCTGGGCAACAGAGCGAGACTCCATCTCAAAAAAAAAAAAAGAAAAGGTGCTGGGATTGCAGATGTGAGCCACTGCACCTGGCCATACCTTGTGGTCTTTAAGAAATTTATTTAACCTTCCTGAGCCTCAGTTTCCTCATTTCTATTGTGGACAAAATAATACCTAAGGCTTTCATTTGACAATACTGAACACCCCTAGGTGACCAGCTCCTGGAGACGCAATGGAGAACCTGAATATCCCCTCGCTCCCCTGGAGTCTGTATGCTGAGGAAGGGGCTATAGACAATAGCCATGCACTCACCCAAATAAGACATTCTTCATGAATTGTGGTAAGTGTGATGAAGGAAAAGCAGTTCGTGCTGAAGAGGCAGGCTGGGAAAGAACTTCCCTGAGAGGGCAGCTTCACTGTCCAAGTCCACTTAGGCTGCCAGAATAAAACGCCACAGACAGGGGCATTTAAACAGCAGACATTTGTCTTCTCATGGTTCTGGAGGGCAGAAATCCAAGCTGAAGGTGTCAGCAGGATTGGTTTCTCCTGAAGCCTCTCTTCTTGACTTGCAGATGGCCACTTTCTCTCTGTGTCCTCACATACATGATCTTCTCTCTGTGTACCTGCACACCCCTGCTGCTGGGGTCTCCAGTGTCCTAATTTCTTTTTTTTTGGAGACAGAGTCTCACTCTGTTGCCCAGGCTGGAGTACAGTGGCGTGATCTCAGCTAACTGCAAGCTCTGCCTCCCAGGTTCAAGCCATTCTTCTGCCTCAGCCTCCCGAGTAGCTGGGACTACAGGTGCATGCCACTATACCTGGCTAATTTTTGTATTTTTAGTAGAGACAGGGTTTCACCATGTTGGCCAGGCTGGTCTCAAATTCCTTACCCCATGATCCCTCCACCTTGGCCTCCCAAAGTGCTGGGATTACAGGCGTGAGCCACCGCACCTGGCCATTTTTTTTTTTTTTTTTTGGAGACGGAGTCTCACTCTGTTGCCTAGGCTGGAGTGCAGTGGTGGGATCTTGGCTCACTGCAACCTCCATCTCCCAGGTTCAAGTGATTCTCCTGCCTCCCTCCCAAGTAGCTGGGACTACAGGTGCCGCCACCACACCCAACTAATTTTTGCATTTTTAGTAGAGATGGAGTTTTACCATGTTGGTCAGGCTGGTCTTGAACTCCTGACCTCAGGTGATCCACCCACCTCAGCCTCCCAAAGTGCTGGGATTACAGTTGTGAGCACCGTGTCCAACCCAGTGTCCTAAGCGCTTGTAAGGACATCAGTCAGACTGGATTAGGGCCCACTCCAGTGGCCTCATTTGAACATAATTATTTTGTTAAAGGCCAAATACAGTCACTTTCTGAAGTCCTGGGGGTTAGGCTTCAACGTATGAGTGGTAAGGCACTCAGTTCAGCCCATGACATTATTTAAAATGCAAAGGATGCATAGAAAGGAGCCGTGGAGCAAGAGGAAACTTTCAGGGAAAGAAACGAACGTGCAGAAACCCTGTGGCTGTGGAAGGCCCGTGTGGCTTGAGCTCAGAGTGAGGGGTCTTGGTGGGAGTTACACTGGGAGTTGAGGGTGAGGAGCCACCTAGAACCGTTGTTGGGAGTGATTGGGAGTGATGTGGTAAGAATTCTGTAATGCAGTGTTCCCCAATCTTTTTGGCACCAGGGACTGGTTTCATAGAAAACAATTCTTCCACGGACCGGGACCGGGGAGGTTGGTTTTGGAATGAGGCTGGTCCACCTCAGATCATCAGGCATTAGATTCTCATAAGGAGTGTGCAGCTTAGATCCTGGTATGCACAGTTCACAATAGGGTTCATGCCCCTATGAGAATCTGAGGCTAGGCCGGGCGCGGTGGCTCACGCCTGTAATCCCAGCACTTTGGGAGGCCGAGATGGGTGGATCACGAGGTCAGGAGATCAAGACCATCCTGACTAACACGGTGAAACCCTGTCTCTACTAAAAATACAAAAATTAGCCGGGTGCAGTGGCGGGCGTCTGTAGTCCCAGCCACACGGGAGGCTGAGGCAGGAGAATGGCGTGAACCCAGGAGGCGGAGCTTGCAGTGAGTGGAGATTGTGCCACCGCACTCCAGCCTGGGCGACAGAGCGAGACTCCATCTCAAAAAAAAAAAAAAAAAAAAAAAGCTTCAAACTTGGACGGGTGGAAGGAGGGATGGTTTTGGAGTTGGGATAGGTTGTCTTGTTGACAGGTTCATGTTTGGTATGAGGTTTGTGGGGCGGTTTGATTGGCCAGGGGCGGGTAGTCAGACCGGGCGGGCTTGGTGTGAAATTGCTCCAGCCTGACAGAACTCCATCTCAAGCAAACGAAGTCTGAGACTGTTTGCTGATGCGACGGGGTGGGCTCAGGTGATCCTTTCATGCTCCTGCTTGTGAGGCCCAATTCCTAACAGGCTATGGACCTTTGGTCTCATTATTGCTGGGGGTTTGGGACTGCTGCTCTGTGGAAGGTTACTCTGTACAGATAGGATTTGGAGGAGGCTCCTTAGCTCCAGAGCTACTGTGAAGGTGACACACTGCTCTTCTCATAAGTAAGGAGCTCCGTAGGAATTACTAGTTAATATTACCATAGCCACCTAACCACGGTTGATAGGAGGACTAGCGAATAGAAAAAAAGGCAAGGTTTAATAAATAAGTGATAAGAAAACAGATAACATCAAAAGTACCAAAAGTCTGTATTTAAGTGGCGCTGGATATAGTGGTTTAATCAGATGTGATACTTCTTGTCCTGGAAAAAAAAAAAAAAAAAAAAAAAAAAAAAAACAAAACGAGAATCTGAGACTGTTGCTGATCTGACAGGAGGTGGAGCTCAGGTGATCACGCTCGCCTCCTGCTGTGAGGCCCAATTCCTAACAGGCTATGGACTGCTTCTGGTCTGTGTGCTGGGGGTTTGGGACTGCTGCTCTAATGGGAAGGTTACTCTGGCCACAGATAGGTTGGAGGGAGGCTCCCCTTAGCTCCAGAGCTACTGTGAAGGTGACACACTGCATGGCATCTCATAGTAAGGGCTCCGTAGAGGGTTACTGGTTAATATTTTTCATAATGGCCACCTGACACGGTTGATGGGAGGACTGAATGAAAAAGAGGCCAAAAAGGGTTTAATAAATAAGTGATAAGGAGAAACCAGGATAAGCATCCAAAAGTACCAAAGAGTCTGTATTTGGTGGCGCTGGATATAGTGTAGTTTAATCAGATGTGATCGCTACTTGTCCTGGAAGGTTTTAGATGCAACTCATGCAAAAGAGGAAAGAAGCAACTGGAGCAGGGAGTCACTGACTATGTGTCGTCCTCCGGAAGCCCAAGTACAGTGGAAACGGTCTAAGAGAAGGAGCACTCATCTTTTATTTCTTTTCCTCAGATTCAACTGAAAGCTCCCCTTAAGTTTACTGTCAGGGTGCTGATACACAGAGCTACTCCTAGAAGCTTGAGGGTACAGGTAAGGGATGGGAGTTCTCCTCCTGCAGGCGCTCAGTAAGAGTACTGTTGGGCAGTGGGAAGGTTTCTCATTTCATTCCTGGAATTCAGGGTCCAGAATTGGAACCTGATGTGAGCTCCTATCTCCTTTCAACTTGAGTGGTGATTCTACCTTTTCTTCTTTTCTTTTGAGACAGAGTCTTGCTTGGTCACCCAGGCTGGAGTGCAGTGGTGCAATTGCAGCTCACTACAGCCTCCACCTCCTGGGCTCAAGTGATCCTCCCGCCTCAGCCTCCCTAGTATTGGGACTACTGACATGCCACACCACCCCCAGCTAATTTTTTTATTCCTTGTAGAGATGTGGTCTCACTATGTTGCCCTGGCTGGTCTCGGCCTCCTGGGCTCAAGCAATCCTTCCACCTTGGCCCCCGCAAAGTGCTGGGATTACAGGCATGAGCCACTGTGCCTGGCTTTCTTTTGTTTTTTAAGAGCTAGGGTCTGTCGCTCAGGCTGGGTGCAGTGGCTATTCACAGGAGCAGTCATAGTTCACTGCAGCCTCGAACTCCTGGTCTCAAGTAATGCCCCCACCTTAGCCTGTAGCTGGGACTACAGGCATGCATCACCACACACAGCTTATGTGACTGTACGTTTTGATGATTTAATGCAACAAAGACTGCTCTTTGTCTTGGAAGGAACCAAGACAAGCATTTTATCCCAATGGCTAAAAAACTCTGACTGTCCTCCTCCACACCCTTGACAGAGGGCCATCTGCCAGTGATTGGGAATGCACTAGACAGCCCATCCTCATTTTGGACAGAATTAATTGTTAGAATCTGCTTTGTAACACTAGGCCAAATATATCTCTTGTAAGTCCCGGTCTGGCCTTCAGGAGCTGCACAGACTCAGCTCCTCTTTACGGCATTAAATATTTGGCGATGGCCCTGGGCTCTAGGCCACCCTTATAAGGCCTCCAAGTCTTCTGTTCACAAATTGAACACCTTACCCCAACAAAAAAGGTGTTTTTTTGTTTTCTTAACGATGCTTTTATGAAAATTCTTCTACATAAATCTCTTCATACTTGCCTTTGGATACATTTCTATAAATGAAACTTCTGAGACAAATGGCGCATTTCATAGTTTGTGCTCTCTATTTCCAGATTACCCTCCAGAATGCATGATTTTTGCTTGTACGCCCACCAGCAATTTACAAGAGAACCTGTTTGCCCACACCTTACCCGCCAACATGGGGAGTTTTCATTCTTTTAATCATTACCAATCTGATAAGGGGAAATGATTATTTCATGGTTACCTTAATTTTCGTTTCTTTGATTATGAGATTGGACATGTTTTCTAACCGCATCCTATACTTTTGCAGTCGAGTTTTGTAGCTCAGTGGAGGACCTTACATGTATTCCAGTTAAATTTTATCTTGTTGGATTCAACCAATCATTCCTTCCTGTTGAGATAATTTTGGACCTGACTCTGCAGTCCCAGCGTGTTGGCCTTCCTTCCCAGTCTGGTGTTATTTGCACAGTTGATAAGCAGTTATCTTTGGACTTATCCAAGCTGTTGACAGAATGTTAATGAGTGCAGGGCCAAGGACAGAACTGCTTGGCATTCCACTAGAGAAAGCCTTGGGATGATACCGTCCCATCTGCTGTGACAGTTCAACCTCACCATGCCTGGGAGTCATGGCTGTGTTAGGAGCCTTCACCTGGGACACAGGGCCTGCGCACAGATTCCAGCCCTGGCCCTGATTAGTTACGTGGCCTTGAGAAAGTGCTGTCGTCTCTTACTGAGATGTACTTTTGAGCTCTAGCAGCCTTTTTCTCACTATTCTGTCCATAAGAATTTCATGAGAAACGGTCAAATTGTTGTCAAAAGTCATGGCACTGTCACAAAGTATTCACCTCATTTTCTGATTTAGTGGAAGCAACATAATGACAACCCTTTGTCATGGACACTGACCTCTGGGATCACCCTTCCTATGTGCTGGTCAACCATTTGTTTGATTTTCTGCCCCAGAATTTTGCCCATGATCAACATGAGGCTCAACAGCCTTCAGTTTATCCAATTCACACTTTTTTTTTTTTAAATACAGGGTTTTGGCCTCCTCAATTCTCTCTGATTCCTCACAGCACCCTGAGACGTCAGAAGTGCTCAGCACTCCCTACCAGGGCTTGTTGGTTCTGTCGCCCTGGTTCAGTTTTCTTTCATATCAGGAAGGAGCAAGGTGGGAGGGCCACCTCTCCTCCAGGCATGGACAGAGGGCCAGAGTTCATTCACAGCTGTGGCAGCATTGAAAGGAAATGGGGAAAATGCTTAGTTTGGCGGAAAAGGGGCTTTGTGAGACTGACACATGGCATCTGCCCAAGTCATGAGCTGAAGAAACAGCTTCCATGGCCCTGCCAGAGGGACCTCTGGTTATGCATCATTCTCTCCAGCCCTGAGCTTCATCAAGAAAATAAGCATCAGCAGTATCATCTCCAAGTGAAATGATGGCACATTATGTCACCTTTCTTTCCTTCAACATCAAAATCAGACAAGACTATTCTAAGGAGGGAGCAGTAAACATTAACCCCATGTAACAGATAAAAGACTAAAAGAGAAATTAGATAACTGGTTTAAGTGACACAGGGAATCCGTCATAACTCTGGTGACATGGCTTCTTATCATGCCTGGAATGTAGTTACTGATTTACACCTTGTAAATTTCTCAGTACATGATGTACAAATGGCCACTCCATACTGTCTGTTTATTCAGACTAATAGTAATCACGATACTATGCCAGGCACAGTGGCTCACACCTGTAATCCCAGCACTTTGGGAGGCGGAGGCAGGAGGATTGCTTGAGCCCAGGAGTTTGAGACCAACCTGGGCAACGTGGCACGATCCTGTCTCTATATAAAATTTAAAAATTAGCCGAGCATGGTGGTACACTCCTGTGGTCCCAACTACATGGGAGGCTGAAGCAGCAGGATCGCTTGAGCCTGGGAGGTCAAGGCTGCAGTGAGCTAGGTTCACACCACTGCACTCTAGCCTGGGCGACAGAGCTAGATCCTGGCTCAAAAAAGATAGATAGATAGATAGATAGATTGATAGATAGATAGATAGATAATATATATTATATAATATATATATATAATAGTAATAATGATAAAGGCTGCTGTGATTTGTTTGTTTATTTTTGCTTGTTTGTTTTTTTGAGACAGAGTGTAGCTCTGTCACCCAGTCTGGAGTACAGTGGTGCGATTTGGCTCACTGCAACCTCGCCTCTCAGGTTCAAGCAATTCTTCTGCCTCAGCCTCCCGAGTAGCTGGGTGCCACCATGCCTGGCTAATTTTGGTATTTTTAGCAGAGATGGCATTTTGCCATGTTGACCAGGCTGGTCTCAAACTCCTTATCTCAAGTGATCTGCCTGCCTCAACCTCTCAAAGTGCTGGGATTATAGGCGTAAGCCACTGCACCCGGCCAAGGCTGCTATGGTTTGAATGTTGGTATCCACTCCACAACTCATGTTGAAGCCGATCCCCATGGCAGTGGTACTGAGAGGTGGGGCCTTTATAAAAGAGCCTGAGGGAGTGAGTTCAGACCCCTCGCCCTCCCGCTTTCTGCCACCTGAGGATGCAGCAAGAAGGCCCTCGCCAGACACCAAATGCTGGCACCTTCATCTTGGCCTCTCCCAGAGCTCTGAGAAATGACTTCTATTGTTGATAAATAACCCAGTCTGTGGTATTTTGTTAGAGCAGCACAGATGGGCTAATACAAAGGCTGGTGATTCTTATCGAGCCCTTACCACGTTCTCAGTGCTTTGCAGAAATGAACTGTTTCCTCTCACACGCCCTTGAGGTAGGTACTGGCTTCACTCCTTTTTTTATAGATGAGGAAATGGAGGCACAGGAGAGAGGCGAAGTAACCTGCCTCAGTTCACCCTCCTCCCATCCAGGGCCCGACCCTGCTTAGCTTCCAAGATGAGGCAAGATCTGGCCCATTCAGGGTTCAATGGCCACAGACAGGCCACCCCTCTTCTAAAGGGTAGAGCTGGGGTTTGAACTCAGGCTGTCTGACTCTGTGGTTCAGGCTCCGAATGGTAATGTTCTGCTGCTTCTATAAATAAATGAGGATAAGAAAGGAATAATTGGAAGTGATTTCTCCCCCAGACTGTGAAACTGCATTGCAAACAGTGGTCTCAGCTACTAAGGAGTAACAAATAGCTCTTTCATCTCCTGGAAGAACTGTGTGCAAAGGAAGGAGTGAGGAGAGAAGGGACACCCGGAGCCTGAAGAACCTGTGACTTGGATGCACAGCCTCTAAGTAATCCCAAGTGAACCGTGTGAACCTGCAGTCAGTGTCTATGGCCACGAGGCAGAACACACAAACACCAGGCCTCAAGATTCTCACCAAGATCGTGTCATGAGACAGGACCTCGCCGCCCAGCCCCCGCCTCCCAATAACAGGATTACGAGGCTCAGTGCGGTTACTGCTGGCACAGCGAGCCACAGATGTAGCCAGGACTGGGTGCCAATCGACAGATTCCCAATATTGTCTTCCAGTTGCTAGACTACGCTGCTTTCCAGTACATTATTTGGAATATAAAAACTAAAATGTAAGTAAAGCATTTTCATACAAATAATTTCAACCGCAACAAGGCAATTGGCTTCTGATTAAGTTGGCAAGAAGAGGTAATGCTCTCATTCCGATTGACATATTTGGAGATTCTCTTGCCAAATACAATTGGCAGCTTCATAATTATGGAAACGTCCATGTTATTTCCACTCAACCAGGGTTAGGGCTGCTGGTATCTGATTCAATGTTTACTTCATGAATGAGGTCAGTTCCCAGCACAGCTGGGGTTTCGGCAAAGGAGTCAGCAGACAGCATTCCCACTAGAATCTGACCGGCGTTTGTCACAACTTCCAGGGCAACCTTCCCTCAGCTCCCCCAGGTCAGCTGCTCTCCCTAGCATTGTCTGGGGCCCGGCTCCTCTCCCTGTAGAAGCAGACCCAGCCTTGACATGATGAGGTCACATCCAAGCTTCCCCTGGCACAGCGGTTCATTCTGCAACCTGCCCCCTTGGTATTGCAACACCTCGCTCCTGGACAACCCCCGCACACCATGAGCTTCATGCTGCCAGGAAACGGTAGGGTTTTAAGAAATATTTATCCCAGGATGGTTCCACGTGTGTGGTGTGAGAGTGACTCAGAGTGCCATGGAAGCCACCTCCAAAGGTAATGATGTCCCACAGGTCAGAGTGTCCTTTCAGCCAGCTCCCCACACTGATGAAAACAAAAACAAGTCCCAAGTGCTCAGAACACTCCGGAAGAACACACATTCATGGAGTGGCCATCTGTGAGTTCACAGAGTTCCTGGGGAGACTCAGGGCAGAAGGGAAGGGCGGCACCGCACAACAATGCCAGGGGTCCAGCTCCCACTGGCTCGAAGCGGCAAAGGGCTGGAGTGTCACTGACCTGTTTGTCCAAGTCCTGAGCTATTGCCATAGGATAGCGGCAGCAAGAAAGTCCACGGTCCAAGTCTGAAGCAGCTGTCTCTGCCCTGGCAGCAGTTTCCCTACCTGAGCGAGGTAAGCTAGGAGGAGGCTAAGCAATAGTGATTTGGTTTGGATCTCAAAATAATCGTGGCCATCGTATGATGTGATTATTTTTGCCTAAGAAAATCTGAAAAGTGCCATGGAGAAAAAGAATCTAGAGTGGGAGATGGTTTAGGCATTGGAGGCAAAGGCAGATTCAAGAAGAAACTTCCTCCGCCCCAGTGTTGACAACCAGACTGACGGCCACACCCCATGCTTTCCCAACAGGAGAACAATGTGACCGAAGGCAATTGATGTGAACACAAGAATCAACAACACAGAGGAGACACAGTCCTAGGTGTAAAGAGGGGAGCTGTCTCTCCCTGTGGCCTCAACAGAAGGACAGGGTTGTCAACCTAGGATGCAGACTCACTGTCTCATCCTAAGGGTCGGTCCAGCTGCCATAGGAGATTTCGGAACAACTGTCCTCACTTGAGGGTCAACATGCTGTACAGTCCGTGGGGCCCACTGGACAGTCGCAGTCCCAGATCACTTCTCCTACCGGCTTTCTCAGGAGCTCACACTACCCGTCGCAGCCCCAAGATGTTCCTTCTGTCTGCTCCTGTTCCTGACTCAAACACGAGTTGTTTGCCATCAGTTCTGTACCCTGTTTTATCAACATTGTTATTGTCATATCTTATAATGTTTATTTGTTTGTTTTTGAGACAGAGTCTGTCATCCAGGCTGGAGTGCAGTGGTGGGATCACAGCTCACTGCAGCCTCCAGCTCCCAGGCTCAGGTGATCCTCACACCTCAGCCTCCCAAGTTAGCTGTAACTACAGGTGCGCACCACCACCCTCAGCTGATTTTTTTTGTATTTTTTGTAGAGATGGAGTTTTGTCATGTTGCCCAGGCTGGTCTCGAACTCCTGAGCTCAAGCAGTCTGACCTTCCTGGTCTCCCAAAGCGCTGGGCTCACAGGCATGAGACACCACACCCAACCTCATTTTATAATCTTTTAAAATTATTTTTTCCCTTGAATATTCTTTGGAAAGTTTTTGAAGATACGGCTCTGACTTAGCCTGTTTTGTGCTGCTGTAACAGAATGCCTGGGACTGGGTAATTCGTAATGAACAAAAATTTATTTCTCACAGTTCTGAAGGCTGAGAAATCCAAGATCAAGGCGCCAGCATCTGGCGAGGGCCTATTTACTGCATCATCCCATGGCAGAAGGCGGACGGGCAGGAGTGGGTGAGAGAGAAAGACAGACCAAAGGGGGCCGAACTCGTTCCTTTATAAGGAACCCACTCCTGAAATAATGGCATTAATCCATCGTCTATTAAACACCTCTAAAAGGTCCTACCTCCCAACATCTCCATATTGGGGATCAAGTTTCCAGCACATGGATGTTGAGGGACACATTCAAACCATAGCAGGCACTAAACCAAGGTCTTTCCTTCCCCCTCTCTGGCCTCTCTACCCACTGGGCATAGCTGCACTGGCCGCCCTGCTGATGCCCATCGACACTAGACACACACCCACCTCAGGATCTTGGCACATGCCCTTCCCTCCAGCTGAAACACTTGCCAGGCCATCCCCACAGCTCCCTCCCTTCCTTTCCATCTTGACTCACATGCCCCCTCCCCTGGATCTTGCATGCATGTTCTTCCACACATGATTCCCCCGGCTTCTCTCCCATTCTGAAATAGCACATGTTACTTGTTCCTTATCTGCCTCCCCCTCTAGAGTGCCAACTCTGCCTGGCAGGGATTTTTGACTGTCGCCTACTGCCACAGCCTGGTGCCAGCACAGTGCCAGGCATGTCCACCCTGCAGCATTTACTGAGTGCCCACTGCACACCAGGCACTAGTCTTGGATGCTTTTGCAAATGTTTCTCCAGTGATTGAAGAACTAAAATTCTTTAAACTCAAAGGAACCGTTGTGTCTTCTGATTCCTCCGAGAGGTTTGAGGAGCTGAGCAGATGCAATGTCACTTTGCTGTCTCCCTCCACCCGGCTGCCCCTCTGACTTCATGTATCAGCTTTCCCAACAGACGTGGGAAAGTGGGGTCATTCCCAGGAAAGGCAGAGCCTTTCATGACTTAGGAACCCAGGTGTTTGCTCCAGTGGGGCCAATTGCTCCTGACTTTTTCTTAGCTCCTAGGAGGAAATGCATCTGAAATGCTGTCACCCTCCCCTGATCATTAACAGAGCTGTTGAACTGGCGGAGTTGTCAGCGAGGCAACCACAGGCAGGCAGGCAGCCATCGCACCGGCTTTGCAGAGAGGGCTGGAGAGCTGATGCCCACGCCACGGGAAAGGGCCGGCGCCTCAGCCAAGAGCCTGACTGGAAAGTGTGTGTAAGGGACACCTGGAGGAAGCAGGGGCCTCCAGCGCCTCCTCCACCAACTAGAACCCGTGGTGCTCACCCGCTCGCCCTGGGGGCTCACTACCCTCCCTGCCCAGAGATACAGCAGGGCTGGAGGCTCACCAGGCTTTGTGATCCCAACACTCACGAGTGTTCTCCCAACAAATTGTAACTTTTCTTTCGTCTCATTTGAAAAAGTCTTTTGTGAGCTAGCAAGTGACCCCAAAGTAACCTCTCTATTCCTGTTGGAAGGGAAAATATTTCCAGATCAGAAAGACTGCAGTGCCAAGCCTTGGCCTATATGAATACTTGATTATGCCTCCTGAACGCAGTCTCCTGAGCATGTGCCAGTCAGTTTCAGAAATGATCCCTGGCTGGGGGCGGGGGCTCACGCCTGTAATCCTAGCACTTTGGAAGGTCAAGACGGGAGGATCACTTAGCTGAGGAGTTCGAGACCAGCCTGGGCAACATGGTGAGACTCTGTCTCTGAAAAAAAAAAAAAAAATTTAATTAGCCAGTATGCTGGTGCACACCTGTAGTCCTAGCTACTTGGGACACTGAGGTGGGAAAATCACTTGAGGTGGGAGGATTGCTTGAGTCTGGGAGGTCAAGGCTGCAGTGAGCCGTGATCCACTGCACTCCAGCCTGGGTGACAGTGAGGCCCTGTCTCAAAACAAACAAACAAACAAACAAACCCCTTAAGCAAAGTAACTGTCAATCAAGAGGTTTATTATTTGCCCCATTGAGTATTTTAAGACCGAAGCTTCACGTTTTCAAGGGTGTGATGTCATGAAATTCCCACGTATGACCACATTTTAAAAACCAGTCATTATGTATGTTTTGGAAAGTGAGAGGGTTAGCCTATAATGTGGAAGATAAACTCCTAAAGTGGAAGTTTGAGATGCACAGGCAGAATGGGTCACCAAGCTATAGCATTTGCTATGGTGAACTCATGTGACTGCCCCAGAATTATCTGGAAGTTCAATGTTCATCTTCTGAAAAGAACTGGGACCTCGCTGTGCCAGCTGCTGCTGTTCTAAGTGCAATGTAAGCAGGTTTCTATTTAAAACCTTCACACCTGGCACTTGAGTAGTGCTTGTTTTCCAAAGGGCACCCTCTTTCCCTCGGATTTTTTCCACTTTCTCCTTTTCTGGTTTAGTCCGGTTTATCTCAGCCTGCTGGCATGAAGAGAAGGACAGTTATAAAAGCCATTTATAAAAGGAGCAGGGAGGTAGTGGTCTTTTTGTCTTTGCTGCTGAAAGGGCTTGGGTAGATACAAGATGGCCTGAGAAACAATGCTGGAGTGAGGAGCAGGGACTGGCCAGGGCCACAGGAGGAAAGCAGGTTTCCCTGTCTTCATGGTACACAGAAGGCAAAGGCAGGTGCTCAAGGCCATGTACCTTCCTAGACAACTTGGGTGAGGCCCTTGGACGCTCCACTGGGTCCCGGCATGCCCAATCAAAAACTCCAGATCTGAGCCAGGCGTGATGGTGGTGCCTGTAGTCCCAGCTACTCAGGAAGCTGAGGCAGGAGGATCACTTGAGCCCAGGAGTTTGAGGCCAGCTGGGCAACATAGCAAGATCCCATCAAATTCCAGATCTGTCACCATCAGTTGTCTCTAAGGAGAGAGGGGCTCAAGAAAGGAAGGATAATTTAGAAGTGGGGTAAAGAAAGGCTAGAAACGGGGAAATAGGGGACTGCACAGCAAAAACAATTTAAGGAAGAGACCCAGACTAAGTCGGGGATGTCGGGAAACGAGCCCATAGGTTGTTTTTTTTTTTAATCCTCTACGTCCAAACACATCTTCATCACCTTAATTATGGACTGAGAAATGACAAGGCTAAAATAATCAAGGACTGGGAATTTAAGATTGTAAAATGGGCTGGGCGTGGGGGCTCATGCCTGTAATCTCAGCACTTTGGGAGGCCGAGACAGGTGGATCACCTGAGGTCGGGAGTTCGAGACCAGCCTGGCCAACATGGTGAAACCCCTTCTTTACTAAAAATACAAAAATTAGCCAGGCATGGTGGCATGCACCTATAATCCCAGCTACTCAGGAGGCTGAGGTATGAGAATCACTTGAACCCAGGAGACAGAGGTTGCAGTAAGCCGAGATTGCGACACTGCACTCCAGCCTGGGTGGCATATTGAGACTGTGTCTCAAAAAAAAAAAAAAATTGTAAAGCATCTCACTTCTGACCTTCAGAGGGTCCTCCCCTTCCTCTCCCTCCTCCTCCCTCTCCCTTCTTCACCTCATCCCCCACCTCCTTCTTCTCCCACTACCCCTCCTCCTTTCTTCACCCTGGGCACAACCCGTCTTGGAGGAGCAGGAACCGCTCTGAATGACACTGGCTGGGACAGAAGTGCCCTGGGGTCAGGCCTGAAGTAGTCAGGCCCGAACAAGGCAGCAGTTGTGCACAGGAGCTTTTCAAGGAGGCTTTGCAGATACAAGGACGTTGGACAGAGAGGAACAGAGAAATTCCAGAGATTTTTCACGTGCAAGCGGATATTTCCTTTGAGAGTTTCTAGACTAAATAATACTCCTTGTGTCTAAGGGGACAGTGTATACTGCTGACCTGGCAGTGTTCTCCGCCTGCAGGATGAGCACAGGCAGGCCTCGCGGCTGCCTGGAGAGAGCTATAAGCAGAGGAAGGTGAAGTGGCCTGAAGAAATGTCTGCACTGGAGACAGTTGGGGCTGTGCGCCTCTGCCTGACGCAACATCTTTTCAGACATGGAGGAAGGATCTGTTGGCAGATCTTTTGACTCAAATGGGCTGGACTTCTAAGAAAAGATATACCCAGGCCTCTCTATTCCACCAATTTTCATTCTTTCATACATACCTACGTATTTATTTATTTAAACAGACTTTATGTTTTAGGCAGTTTTAGTTCACAGCAAATTTGAGCAGAAAATGCAGAGGTGCCATAGACTTCCTTACCCAGAATACCCAGGGCCTCCCGCTCTGTCAACACCCTGCAGCCGATTCATCTTACAGTCGATGAAACGATATTCACACATCATTATCACCCAGAGTCCATCATTGACATTACAGACTCTTGGTGTCGTACATTCTGTGGGTTTTGACAAATGTACAGTGATGTGTACCTGCCATTGTGGTGTCATGCAGAATAATTTCAGCACCTGATAATCCTCCGTGCTCTGCCTGCTAACCCCTCCCTCCCCCAACCCCTGGTCCCCAAGGCTTTGCTTTTTCCAGAGTGTCACATAGTTGGAATGGTATGGAACATAGCCTTTTCAGAGTGGCTTCTTTCACTTAATAATAAGCATTTACG